ATGTGAATAGCCAGGGACTCTTGTAAAAATTACTGCAATTCCCTACTGCTGAGTAGCTCTTAGATGATGCTGAAATGGCCAGCCCTAAACTAATGGTCTAGTTTAGCATATTCCTGACAGAGGACTATGGTAGGACTTAGGTTTCATTTAGATGAAAGACAATTAAGAACATGTGTGATCTAGAGTATTGACTAGGAAAATTCATTTCTTATCCTTTTGCTTTAGTAACTTTTATATTTACCAAAATAAGAGGCACAGGTATTCATTTGCAGGGGCTCCAAGATTCAGAATGCCACAAATAAGAAAAGTGAGTAAGTTAACTCCCTGACCAAGTCCTTATGGCTGCTGGGCATGGAATTTAGCATAGTAATAATGTTGAAGTACTTGCTCTAAACTCTTTCTTGGTATTGTGATATGGGACTTATTATTTCAAAAATAGGTCAGTGATTTTGTGAATTCAAAATTGGCTCCCAAGGAAAATTCCCATTGAAAAAGTAATGGATTTGACCTAATTTTAGTTCTGGAAAAAGGACTTGGATACCCAACTCCAGTTCCCACAGTATCCTGGAATGCATACACTTAGTAGAGGCTCCTGATGTTTGTAGTTCCATTTGCATAAGAGAAGACAAAACTGCTTGGGTCAGGGGAATGGTCTCTTTCACATGCCATAATCATGTTTGTATTAAATCTAAGTTAATGTCCCCTTTCATAAAGTTCCATAGGAATGTGAAAAAGTATTTGTTCTGAAAAATGCTCTCAGGGACCTTAACATATTGTATCTTGGACCCTTCATGAGAATATGTCTGTGGAATACTAGCTTCTTAGTGTGACTTGACTATGAACCATAGTTTCAAGAGCTTGGAACAGTGTTGGGTATGGTTTGTCTCGGGAAATGCTTATCTCAGGAAGCCACCTCCAGTCTCTCATCATTTCAGGGTAATTTAAATAAGATGTGAAGTGGAGACTTCTACCAATTTCTGAGGTAAGTAAAAGTCCTTTGGGGAAAAATAAGGTTTCATGGATTACAGGAATTTAGAGAGAAAACAAGTTAACAAAAACATTGATTCTCATTATTTAAGACACTAAGTTCCTACACAAATCATATTATAAGGTGTTCAAATCTTCTGAGACAATAGTGAGACCTCCCTTTCCTGTTCCCCAGTATTTTCATCTTTTAGATGAGGATGGTAAAGTAATGCCCTCCTCACAGAGTGGTTGTCAGGACTCAAAGGATAATGTGTTCAGAAGCGTGGCCACGCAGTAAGAAGCCCATGGATTGATGACAATTTGTAGTCCATTCCCCCACCCCAAAGATTCGAATGGTGTCTTTCCTTTGTTCCACCTTTAAGGAAGGTGTCAGTGAGTGTTTATATCAAGATAACTTGGGGGAACATTTTCAAGTTATGCATGCCCAGGTTCTGTAAGTCATTGTTTTATTGTGGCAATGGGAAAGGATATGCATATTTGTGAAAGCTCCCTAGGGACAGTGATGATGCATTCTTAGTACCCACCATGTATCTGCAGTAAATCTCTAAGAGTGATCCCCCCTTCCAATGGCAGTTCTGGGATCTGTTCCTTGGAATAAAATATTTTTGTACTTGAATAAATAAAAATTCCATGTTCTTCTTCTTGGGGCTTACTAAAGGATCAAATAAGTCCAACAGGACAGACTTTAAAATCTGTAGCCTATTATTTTTTATTTTGTTTATCTTTGCAGTGTTCTCCTTCCTTGCAACTCTCATTCATGTCTTTGTTCAATGAATTGAGGAAACTCTATGGTACAACATTAGCTAATAGTGAATTCTGTACCTATCCAGAAATTTTATTCATTACAGGTGCTAGGGGGAAGTAGCAAAGCAGAGACCAGGCAAGACTCCTCCTGTTCAGAGAGTGAACTGGGATTTAATTCTTTGATCCCATTGCTTTATTCTTCCAGCAACCTGTACTTATGTCTGGAAGGAATCTGTAAATAAGTGCTTTCCTGTATGCACCCCTCTGTAAATGTCAGGTAACAGCCAAAGGGCCAGGAAGGGAACTACCAAGGACTTTATGGACAAATGTGGCCTTGAATTCTCGTTCTAACTCTACAGCTCAGTGACTATGGGTGAAAGATGTGACTTATCTAGTCGTAGTTTCCTTATTTGTAAAACAAGGATGATGATGGTGTCCATTCATTGGGCTGTTGTGAGGGTGAGTTAATCAAGCAAAACTCTAACATGGGCTCAAGCTTATTATTGTTGTTAGTGAATCACAAATGTTCATGAGCAAAGGGAAACCAGGACAAGGACAAAGAGCTCCAGACAAGTAAATCTTTCCTTTCACATATAAATTTACCTATTCAAGAAAGGCCAAGTACCCGATGAGAATTCAGGCTGGGAATTATAAATGTTTATTGAACTGAATGGTTGGGATACTGGGTTATGAAGGATCCTTTCACCTAGCTACATTGTAGCTAAATTCCAACGTATCTGATGATATGCTAGAAACAGTCAGGAACTGAGACCAAAGGAAGAAGAAACATCAATGGCTGAAATTCAACAGCTTTGACATGAGAAGGGAAAAGAGATTTCGAATTGAATGAGGATGCTGAAGTCAGTGCGCTTAAAGCAGAGATGTTTACTCAAATAAAAGTTTATTATTTCTAGAAATAACTTAAAGGAAGAAGAATAGAACTAAATACCAAGTCTAAGATACTCTTGCCTGTTTCCAGACTAAGATGTCATACTCACCTGCTGTGGGTGTGTGTAATCCTGACTGTAAGTATCAGTTAAAAAGGTTTCTGATCAAGGAAGTAGGTCACAGGGCCCCAAGTCCAGGCCTAGATTGTTCCTGCCTGCCTTGACGGACTTTGTGACTGCACACTAGACGTTTGTCTTCCTCTTTGTAAACCCTGAAGGGAGGGACCAGCCAAGGAAAACAAAACTCAAGAGGCCAAGCCAGATCAACGGGGTGCAGAGACAAAGAGGCAAAGAGCTCTGGTCACTGCAGTGAGTGCACTGACAATGATATGGTAAAGGTGGGTTCCAGTTCTGATGGCCATAGAGACCACCTGTTGTGTATGTAGCAGGCACCAAGCCCTCATTTTGCTTCTTGCTTTCCTTATTCCAGCGCATGCTCACAACACTCTATGGGACACCTGTTGGCATTCCTGTCCACAAGTGGAGAGGGTACCAGACTTAGGATTATTGTCAATCTCATAGGACGGGTGCATCTTGGGAACTGTTCACCAGGTACTGTAGAGGAGGGCAAGCTGAGGCAGAATACATGTTTCGCCTTGATAAATGGTATATAGCATAGAACTACAGCTTTCGTGAGACCCTCAGAGGGATGGGATGGTTGCTTTCTTTCTCCCAAATCCCCTGACTTATTTAATTTCTCCTCAGCCAAAAGCCGGCAGAATAAAAAGTGATAGAATTCCCTTTTTCCATCAAGAGAGAAAGGTGCCAGGTTGGAAATTATTTCAATAGAAAACCAGAATCTCATTCCTAATTAGCCAAAAATTGTTTATGAAAATCATTAATATTAATGGCAACTATTTACCAGTCTCTTTCAGTGTGATGTTCACGTCAAATATCTCACTTCTATACCATTTAGTCTCTAGAGTTACTCTAAGGGAAAGGTATTATTTTTGCCTCTTTTTTCCTGATAAAGGAACCAAGGTGTGAGAGAGTGATAACTTGTGTAAAATGAGACAGCTTATATGTGACAGAACTTATAAATATAGTTCTGTCAAAACCTATAGTTGGAGTTGGTCAGCACCAAACTATCTGTATTTCTTCTACCCTCCAGCACTGCTCTTGCTAAGTATAAGACAAGCTGGACTGTCAGCAGGGGAACCTTCATAGGACCAAACTAGGTCCTCTGAATGTGGGTGACGGTGTGTGGCTTGGGCAGTCCGTGGGGGCAACTGGCAGTGGGACCAGGATTTTCTGATCCCTAGTGCTTGAACTGCCTTTTCGGAGCCTATTCTCTTTGGAGGGATACATTGCTTAGCCTAGATATAGGGGGGAGGTCTTGGTCCTGCCTCAAAGTGATGTGTTAGACTTTGTTGACTCTCCATGTTCCCTTAGACTCTCTGAGGAGAGAACGTGGGTGTGGTGGGAGGAAGGTAGGGAGACCAGGAGGATGGGAGGGAATGGGAACTGGGATTGTTATGTAAAATGAGAAAATATTGTTTTAAATGAAAAGAAGGATAAAAAAGAAATAACAGAAGTGTCAACAAGGGTTCTCTGACCTAGGAGAGGATTAGCACTGTCAATAAAGTAGGGTCACAAAAAGGAAAAGTGGGGATTGAGTGATAGCTCAGTTGGTTAAATGCTTACTGTGCAAACATAAGGACTTCAGTTTGATCCTTAGAACCCACTTCAAAAAAATGGGCATGGTGTTTCCTTATAATCCCACAGGCTGGGAGGTGGAATCAGGTGGATCTCTGGAGCTTGCTGGTCAGCTAGCATAGTGTACTCAGTAAATTCCATATCCACGAGAGACCCTGTTTCAATAAACAGGTGGATGGCTTCTGAGGACAGACTTGATGTTGTACACACACACACACACACACACACACACACACACACACTAACTACAGTTTTCCTGCTGTGGTTAAGAGGGAATCAAAGGAATATTGCAGATTCATAAATCTGAGCTAAGCAGAATGAACAGGGTATGCTGAGCACAGAGGAGAGGGTTGGCTGTATTTGTAACTGAGCAATTGTAGGACTTAGTTTTGAATACAAGTTAGCTTGTCCAATTGGATGAATTTAATCATCACTTATAAACTCAGGGCATCAGCAAGTTAGAGACTGTTTTTTTTCAACCTCAGTTTTCTCATCTGTGATATGGGCATGATAGCTACCCAGAGGGTTGCTGGGAGGAGTAAATTTCTGAAGAGGCATCTGCTACCTTCTCCTCTCTTCCTGACAGTGTGGGTTCAGCCATCTGAGAGATGAGCTCGCTTCTTACCTCTGACCTTACCATGTAAGATTATAGAGAAAGCACCTTACCTGCTGTGAGAAGCCCTTCACAACACGCCTCTGCTTGAGGTTGGTCTCTCCATCCAAGTTGGCAGTTTCCAGGTGGCAGACGCCACTGGGGTCTGAGGAGGAGAGGAGAAGGATGTCTGCCGGGACGATCTCATTACACTGCATCTGGACAAAGTCTCCCACACGCACGTCCTTCCAGCGCCTCGGCACGTAGTTCTGCTCTAGTCTGGGGCACGAGGAAGATGGGGCTCAGTGAGCGCGAAGACTCCTCAGTACTCTGCTTTACTGTCGATGCCAACTTGCCACAATTTAAAATCGCCAGGGAAGAGTACCCGTTGAGAAAATAGCTAGATTAGACTGGCTTGTGGGCATGTCTACAGGAGATTTTCTTGATTATTGGTTGACCCAGCCCATTGAGAGTGACATACTTCACTGGATAGGGGTCTTGAGTCATTTATGAGTAGAATAGAGGGGGCTATTAAGTATAGACTAAAGAGTGAGTTAGTCAGGATCTAGACATTTATTCTTTCTCTGCTTTTGATTGTGGATGTGACACTTTAAATGCTTGCCTTGATGTCCCTATGATAATAGCCTGTACCCTGGAATTGTAAGCCAAATAAATTTCTCCCTCCCCTAAGTTGCTTTTGGTCATGGTTTATAAAATCCCATTAGTAAAAGGTCTCTCCCTGTGATTGTTTAGAATTTTGAACAATTACCAACTGTTGACCAGGTGTGCTGAGCCCTCCCTTCCTGGCAGGAAGAATACTTTTAGGGGAAGTCATCTGTGCCATTATATTGCATGGCTGGTTATTACAGAAGAAAGCAAAAGTCCAAAGACCAGAGATAGAGAGGGAGCAGAGAGGCAGTAAAAATGAGGATATTGGTCATTAAGAATGCATGAGACATTGATAAAATAGAAAAAACTCTAGACACATTGAGAGCATTAGTAAGAAGATACCAGGGACTTTGACAGCATAGGACCCACAACAACTGGGAAGGCAGAGGACTTGGTATCATGGAAAAATGATAAACTTTCCCTTCAATAATTTATCAAAGCTAGACAACAGCAGTAGCAACAAAACTCATCAATTTAATGTTTACAACACACTAAGTACTAGTGTCAACATTTTGTTCCCTTACTTGACAATCCATTGGTGTAAGCATTATATGAATTTCTCAAATAAGTGGGAACTCATGGATCCCAGTCTGACAGCTGGAGAACCAACATAGGACCAAACCAGGCCCCCTGAATGTGTGTGTCAGTTAGGAGCACTGGGAACCTATGGGGCCTCTGGTAGTGGAACCAGGATGTGTCCCTAATGCATGAATGGTCTTTGGGAGCCCATTTCCCATGGAGGGTTACTCTCTTAGACTAGATACACAGGGAAGGACCTAGGCCCTGCCCCAAATGACTTGACAGATTTCAATGATCCTTCATGGAAGGCCTCACCCTTCCTGAGAAGTGGATGGGGGATGGCATGGGGGGGTTGTTGGAAGGTGTATGGGAGGATGGGAGGGAACTGGGATTGACATGTAAAATAATATTGCTTCTAATTTAAATAATATACATACATATAAACTAAGGATCAATTTTTTTCCTGAAGTCTTATAAAACCCGAGCTGAAACCTGAGCTTGTATCCAGCTTGATGTCAAAGCTCATAGCTTCCACTGCTAGTCCCTTCCAGCTGGTATCACAGCTTTAGCTCACCCATTCCCTCCATCCCAATAGGACACAGAACTCTCATATCAGAAAGTCTTCATTCCACCCAGCCAATTATTTGACAAAGTTTGCTCTCCTAAGTAATCCAGATGCTCATATTTTCTACCTTTAAAAAACACTTTAAAAGGGTCCTATAAAGTCTTTTGGCATTACAACAAAGATTTAGGCAGAGTTACATAGAAACTCCCTGCAAGGCCTTGAAGCACCTGTGACCTTTACAATATGAAGAAGTTCTGTTGGCTGATAAGCAGAGCTCAGAGCTAGGGCCTAGAGGAAGAAGAATAAACCACAAGGCCAGACTCTAGAAGGCTTGACGCAGTGCCTGCAAAGACAAAAAGTCTTTTGGCTATGTCAAGCCACATCTAATACCCAAGATACCCTCAATTATTCCTTGGATCATGCAGTGTCAAGACCTATCCTAAAGATGTTGGTTCTTCTATAACTGCATTTCAAACATTTCTCTTTCAACGTGGGATTTGAAACCAGACCAATATTCCACAAGTAGTCTTTTAATCAGAGCCCTGCTGGCTTGAAGCTGGTTTCTTTAATAATACCTGGACCTGGGGAGACAGGTTACATCTGTGCTATTTCCACACAATTGTTGGGTCCTTCTGGGCATGTTGCTGTTTCTGCTGGAATCTAAGCTACGTGAGCATGATAAGTCTACATCTAAAAGATGTGAATGAAAGTACTCAAAAGAGGATCAAGGAATTGGTGTCTGCCTTTTTGGGGGTTCTCTGGAGACTCTCAGCAAAGTCCTCCTAAAAGCCTATCATCTTTCTCACACACAGTCCCTGTAGAAGACTCTCCCAGTCCTTGAAATAAAGATCCTTCTATCTGGAAGAAGACTGCATCAGTGAATAAGGTCATCAGGGACATGAGAACTGGTGAGCAGCGTTGCATGTTGAAGCCTCCACAGGGTCTATGGAAATGCTCCATGGCTGTAGAAACCCAGTTTAGTGGCCCTAGTCTACTCTATGGCAATAATGTCTACATGACTACTGTATCATACCTTTTTCTGCCATGATAAAGCAGGAATCAGATTTCCACACAACTTTCAATTATTACCATCTAAGCACCTATCGTACCCCATATCTCTTCTTAAAAATGAAGAACAAGGACAGTTCTATAAGCTCTAGTCCACTGTATCATTTCACAGAATTATTTTAAAATTTGTTCATTTGTGCTGGGTGGTAGTGGTGCACACCTTTAATCTCAGCACTCAGGAGGCAAAGGCAGGTGGATCTATATGAATTAAAGGCCAGCCTGGTCTACATAGCGAGTTATAAGACAGGCTCCAAAGCTACAGAGAAACTCTGTCTTGACAAAAAGGTGTTTATTTATATAGGGTAGATATATATCCATTAAGACAGAGCAATTCAGTCCTGGGATCACCTGTAAGTGCTCGGGTAGAAGGCTCTTTAAAGGCTGCAGGATGGGTTAAACACTCAGTGTCAAATAGACTTTCACAGAATGAAGTAGGGGTTCTTACTCTACTGCTTTTTCTTTTCTTGTCATTATGAGAGAATGTAAACAAATCATTATTAAATATTATAGCGAATTTGTCCAAAGGAACAAAGGGTTATTCCCTGTTTATCTGCATCTCACTTTCCTTCCTCCTGGCCTTTGGGACTGTAGGGTATCAGCTGATTGCTGCAACATCAGCATTCCACCCAGTGTGTGAGATCAGCTTTACGGAGGACACCCTTGAATCTGAGCATTATCTGGATGATCATCATTTGCAGAGCTCCTTCATTCTGAAGGTTGTGACAAATATGCTAGCCAGGGTTGCTACATATCAGAGCAAAGTCAGTCTAAGGCACCTGTATCAGTGAAATCAACTCTTCTCATCCCACCCCCAAATAAAGGTTTCTGTTGCTAAGTGTGGGATATAGGTTGGGATTAAAAAAAGATGGAAGGCCTTGGAGGTTAGTTTTGAGTACATACATTTTTTGGGATGTCTGTCTGTCTGAACTAGGCTGGAATGCTAATTTGTCAGTCTTCATCATGATTTAGGCATTGTCAGATTTGTGATCTGAAGCTTTACAGTACTCCTTAGGTTCCAGTGATGTCACCACCATCCTGGACAGTTGTTTCTATAGATGAGTTCTTTCCTCAGACAGAACTGGATAGGGAAGGGACATTCATGGTTATTCCTGGAGGCTTGCCTCTTTACCTCTGTGAAGTAGGCTTGCCACACTACTCTGTCAACCTCGTCTTTCTTTGTTCTTTTTATGCTTATAATTGCATTCTGTGACCTGCAAACAAAATCCCCAACTCCTTCAACCTTCCCCCAAGTCTAGAAAAGAGGGATAGCAGCAAATAGATGCTCAGGCTCTGGAGTGAGGTTCCTGAAACAATTTCCCAGAAACATTGTTCCCAGGTCCATGCTACCTCCAGGAGTTCATGGAGGGCGACTAGAGTGTTGGAACTATTAGTATTCATTAAAAAGTAATTGGGAGAATGCATTTTAGTATGGATACATGAGACATTCCATATTGGGTATATCAATTGAGAAATTTTACTTATAGTAGTGTTATATTACATAATGCTATGTTACAGTAACTTAGCTCAGCTATGTTACAGGATGATAAGCATATTTTACTGGACCTTTAGGGACACTTCCATTTCACACTCGGCTACTTTGCTCAGTTATTCAGTGCTCTGGGGTACACTTGGCCAATTCATCTGTCACCAGCATGTCTGAGGAGCAGCCAAGGATGCATAGCCCAAGGGTGCCCAGCAAAGGGAGGTGAGAAGTGGCAGGATTTAGCTGAAGCATAAAAGTGGCATGCTTCTACATTGAGTGACACTCAGATGTGACCAGATGCTGGCCAGGAGCCACCAGCCAGAGTCATTCTCTCATTAATATGGCCTGCTTGGAACAGCTGCCCCAGGTGGATACAGGCATGGACTCTTGCCTGTCCCTCTGCTCAGTGCGCCTTTCCCTGCAATGTTCGCTGCTCTTTTAGTTTCCTGCAATGTTCACTGCTCTTTAAAAATAAGATAAATTCACATGGCTTAGGACAACGACTCCATCTGGCAGAGTCTACCGTGAGGAGAAATTAAGTGATGTAGCATTTAACAGCTTTCTGCGAGAAGGTGGGACTTTTAAAAAAGGATAAATAAACAGCAAGAGAGGTTTTTAAGCAACTGTATGCCATGTGGAAGTGGGAGAGAAGGAGGAGAAGGTGTTTAAGGCTCCATTTCTCCTGTAACTGGGTTCTATACAAAGAACTGCAAGAACTATACAAAGACAAGACCTTTCAGGAGGCTGTCTTATGGAACTTATGATTAACAGAGGAAAACTGACCTGGGATGTCCTTCAACAAGCTTAAATACTAAGCCCAGAGTGTCCCAGGTGCCTATTTAGAGTGGGTAGGGACCATTGAGAAGAATGAAGGCAGTCCAGGAATTAAGAATGTGTTCAAGGACAGGAGACATGACTTAATGATTGAATTCATACTATTCTTTCAGGGAACCCAGATTTGGCTCCTACCACCCA